GTCCGCCATGCCATTTGCTGGTCGCCAGTGGTGCTCCAATGTGCCCTCCAAGCCTGTGGGTCTCCCCGCAGAGCACCGAGCTGCTTGCTCTACGCCTTTTGTAGAGCGGCCTTGTGGTGCCGGGAGGCCTCACAGCACGTGCAGGACACAGGACTGTGCCCATTTCACAGAGATGAACTGAGGCCAGGCTCCTTCCCCAAGGCAGTCGGTAGCAGAGTGATGAGTCGAGCACCTCTCCTGGCTTCCAGCCCCATGCCCATCCCATACATCGCAGCCTCCTTTCATTGCCTGGCACCCCATTGCCTTCCCGAGCAGGCCGTGCCATGTGGAGGTGGGGGCGGCCTGGGGAGGGACTGGACCGCAGGGCAGTGGGGACCAGGGCTAAGGACTGGCGATGGGCAGAGCCCCTGTGAGGCACAGAGAGCTGGTGGCACCGGAGAGGAGAGGCCGGGAGGGACGTGGGGGTGAGCTGGGCACAGATGGGTGAACAGGGGCCCGGCCCTTCCCCAGCACCAGCGGGTGAGCATGCACCTGGCTCCGAGAACGTCTCGACTAGACTCGGCCTTTGTTCCTCTTGGCTTTGAAGCCTCTGCGTCACTCCAACTATGTGCATGTGCTTCCCTTCACACCCTTGCAACCCGGGACCGGGGCCGGGCCTAGCTAGAGCCAGTGTTTTTCACGGGCTCCTTGCACAGAGCAAACAGAAACCCCAACTGGCAGGGGACGTGGGGTGGGGGGAGCTCTCCTACCTCCCCATGGCCTGACGCACAGCTGGGGCAGACACGGGGCTTCCTGGGGGCTGAGGAACGGGCCGGGGCGTCCAGGGCTCTGGGGACGTCGTGCCTGCCTCACTGTTCGGCTTGGCACTCAACCCCCCCCATCTGGGACTCCTGAACAGCCCCCACGTGTGCTGACTCTCACCCCTCACTGCAGCTGCAAGCCCTGCGGCGTTGCCGGGCTCTGCCTGTGGGGTGCCAGGCTGCAGGGCTAGCACGGGCTGATAACCACTGGGGCAGGAGAGACCCCAGAATCACATGCTCCTTCTCCGGGTGTGCAGCACCTAGCGCGGCCAGGCCCCGATCCCCAGCTGGGCCCAGTCTGTGCCACCACTGTGCAGCGGATCAGTGTTGCAAGGAGGGGGCTCAGTGGAGGAGGTCTGGGAGGCCTGGGGAGAGGGCAAGGGGGCCTTCCCCTTGCATCAGGGGCGAGGTGGCCAGAGCTGGGCTGGGGGGGCGCAGACCAGGCTGGGGCAGGAAAAGGTGCCTGCAGCCTGTCTGTGCCACCTGCCTGCCGCTGGACCTGTGCAGCCGCCGTGCCTGTCCCTGTGGTATCAGGGCAGCCCCGGAGGGTGAGGCACTGCCCCCATGCCCTGCAGCAGTGGGTTTGGGGGGGCAGCCCATCCCATGCGAGGCTGGTGGAGGGTGCCCCCCCACATGCACACCCTGCCATCCTGGCTGCATCCTAGCTCCCTCCCTCCACCGGCTCCCAGCTGCCTCCCTCCCACCCACGCCGCCCTGGGGACCCCCAATGCTGCCTCCGGAGGAGCCATGTCCTTCCCAGCATCGCCTCCCTCCATGGGGGAGAGCGGGGCAGCCCCCCCGCAGCCCCAGGCCCAGGCAGCACCGCCTCCCCTCAGGTCCCGGGGGGGGACCGGGGTGTCTGTGTCTCTGCTTCCTGCCTCCGCCAAGCCTGAAACTGTTAAACTAATTAAAGATTTTCAGTGGCAGGATTAATCCCGCGCTGGGGGGGGAAGGGGGGAGCTCAGGTAGTCGATTAGTTCGCCAGGCGAGGATATTGGATTTCTGAAAGGCAAGTCAGCACTCTTCGGGGGCTGTTATCTTGCCAAGGCTCCAGGGGTCAGGAGGTGGAAAACGAGGTGACTGCAATCTCGCTGGCGCTCACACTCGCTCACACTCGCGCACGCACACCCGGCATTTCTCCTTCGGTGTCTGTCTCTGCTGACGCCCCCCCCCTTCCTTTCTCTCCTTCCCCATGCATCTCTCTCTGTCTCTCTCCGTGCCTTCATCTCTCGCTCTCTCTCTTGTGTGGTCTCTGCTGGTGTTTTGTAACCAGCAAAAAAAAAAAGAGGGGGGGGGTGGATAAAAAAGCCCTACCCCTGGCTAACAACCCAGGAATGGCGAAGTCCAGAGCTCCTAATGTAAAACATGTGGCCGCTGCCTGGGGCTGAGCAGAGGAGGTGAAAGTGAACATTGTGTGGAGAGCATCTGTCTCCTCCGTGCCCCCACCCCTCTCTCCGGGCCCTGCAAACCCGGGGCCCCCGGGCTTTGCCGGGGCGGGAGTGTGCCGGGCCCCCCTCCCCACGCCTGGCGGGCAAGACGGCGTGCCAGGGGACCGGTGTGGCGATGGGGGGTGGCGGGGTGCATCCTCAGGGTTGAATCCCAGCCACCGCTCTCCAATTCCAAGCAGGTCCCGTGCCCCAGGGGGCAGATCCGGGTCTGGAGCTGCTCCCCCCCTCGCACACATACGTGCACATGTGTGCGCACAGGCTGAATGGGGCGCGGTGACTGAGCCTTCTAGCAGGCTGCTTCTGCCACGGTGCCAGGTGGGTGCCCCACTGGTGCGGCCTCCCCCCATGTTCCCAAGCCCCTCTGTGCCCCCAAGCATCCTTCTCCAGGGCAGGGAGTGCCTCCTGCTCCGCTCCTCCCCGGCCACGGGCTGAGCCTCCTGGGGAAAGGGCTGGAATAGCCGCCAGGCAGCCACGGCGCAGGACCCCACGCCTGCCTGCGTGGTCTGGGAGCTGGCTGGAGTGGGGGTGTGCACGTGGGTGTGTGCACCTTTGAGAGTCTGCATGCTTCCCTCCCTCTGTGTCCATGCGTGACACGGTATGTGCTGCTCTCCGTGGGTGCCTGTATTTCTGCGGGTGTGTTTGCACTTCTCTATAACCCTGTGGCCGTCTGTGTTGTGTCCCTGCGTATGCCTGGCTGGGACTTCATGTGTGTGCCCCCGTGCACAGGGGTGTCGGTGAGCCAGTGTGTGCACATGTGGGTGTTACTCTGCGTGTGCCTTGCAGTTGCTGCATGTATGTCTCCAGAAGCCCGTGTGTTTGTGTGTGTGTTAATGTGTGTGCCCCGTTGTGAGTGTGTGTCTGGGTGCCTGCATGTTTGTGCATGTGTTACTATGTGTGTGCTCTGCTGTGGCTGTGTTGGTGTCTCCAGAAGCCTGCGTGTTTGTGCATATATGTGTGTTCCTGTGTACCCTGCTGTGATTGTGTGAATGTGTGTGTCTCTAGGAAACCACATCTGTGTGCCTGTATGTGTGTTATTGTGTGTCTCCAAGAACCCACATGTTTGTGCACATGTGTGTTACTGTGTGCCCAGCTGTGACTGCATGTATGTGTGTGCCTGCAGGAGCCTGTGTGTTTGTGCACATGTGTGCGTGTTTCTGTGTGCCCTGCTGTGACTGTGTGTGTCTCTGTGTGTCTGCATGTTTGTACACACGGGCGCGTGTTACTGTGCATTTCCTGTTGTGACTGTGTGCATGTCACTGTATGTGTGTCTGCGTGTTTGCACACGTGTGCATGTTTGTGTGCCCTGCTGTGACTCTGTGTGTGTCTCCAGGAGTGCGTGTGTTTGTGCACACGTGTGCGTTGCTGTGTGCACTACACTCCCTGTGCACCCCAGGGCTCCGTCCATCTCCGCGTGTCTCCTGCACGCACAGCATGAGTGCCACGAGCTCGCCTCCCCCGGGCCAGCCCCTCTCCTCCTGCCTGTCGGTGTAAATCCCGAGCGAGTGCCCTGAACCTGAAGCAGCTGCTCTGGATTGCTGCTGATATAACACAGGCCAGGCCCTGGCCCCCCTCCACAGCCCCAGCCAGGGCTCCCAGTGCCTGCACTGGTTTTCAGTCTCTCCACGTTTCAGCCAAGTGAAAAGGCAGAGCAGTGCCTGTGAGTGTGCCTGGGTGTGTGTGTGCATGTGTGTGAGTGCGGCAGGGGGGACTGGGACCCAGAGGCGGTTCTGGAAAGCCTTCTGTGCACTTCCTGCCTGCTTCGCTCTCCTCTCCAGCAGCTCTCAGCTCCGGGCGCATTAGCAGATGCATCAGAGACTAGACCGGTCTTTCTAGTGCATATTTTCCTGTTCCTCGTTGCCCTTCGGTGTAACCCAACACCAGGCAGGCAGCACAGCAGCGCAGCTCTCCGCTGGGCTGGGGGGGAGCTGCCTGCATTTCCGTGCCAGCTCCGAGACCAAAGGCTTGGAGCAGGGGAAGGGAGAGGGGGTGGCGATGGGGGGAACATGGACTGAAGAACTGACAGGTTTGAATTCTCCTTCCCTGCCTCCTTGATAAGTTGTCACGCTAATCCTGGCACCAGGAACCGGGATCACGCAGAGAATATGTGTGCGTCTGTGTGCTGGGGGGGGAGGACACATTTGCACAAGCTCAGGGTGGTGGGGGGGAACACGTACACTCACAGACACACACCCTGATGAGCGACAACAAAGATCCAGAGCCGGGGACATGCTGTTTCTCTCTCCCGCGCTCGCTCGCACACGGCGGTTGGGGAAAGACACACGCACACACCAGGCGACGGAGTAGGAGGCACAATCGGCGAGGCACACAGGCAGGCAAGCCAGCCAGGAGAAGCTGGCAGAGACACACAATCACACGCACAAAGAGAGGCAGCGCGGCACAAAGAGAGAGAGAGAGAGAGGGAGGAAACGGGGGCCAGGACAGCCCAAAACCGGGCTCGCACGGGCACACGGAGACCCGCACACGCGTGTGCATGCATGAACAGGGCACAGACCCAGCCAGGCACACAAAGGAAGCAAAAACCACAATCCAGCTCAGGCAGGCAGACACACGCTGCCCGCCTCCAGGCAGAGAGAGCCCTGGGTGCAAGGTCTTGCTAACGCAGGGCTCAGAGCCAGGCTGAGCTCTTCCGGGGCCAGAGAAACCCGGAGTCAGACAGACAGGCACTGGACACACGCAGGAGACAGGGCTGGCGAGGGATGTGGCTGGGGGCTGGCTGGGCGGGCACGGAGAGGAGCAGGAGGGCACGCGGGGAGCACCCTTCCCCTTGCAAGGACCCTACAGCCAGAGCCACAGCCGCGCTCGGGGCCAAGCCACCCCCAGCTGACACTCAGGGAAGGGGACGCCATCGCCCCCGGAGCCTCACCTGTCAGTCCTCTCCTGCAAAGGCGGCTTAGAGGGGGAAAGAGAAGCTTAGACAACCCGACAGTTGCCGACAGCTGGGTAGGCGTGAAAGCCGGCGCTGCTCTCGGTGCCCGTGCGCACACCGCCAGGCTGAATAACCCTGTGGGAGCCCGCGCTGACGACACCGGAGCCGAGCACGACTTGGTGCCGTGCCGGGCGCTGGGCTGTGGGGGGCATGCAGCCCCTTGCCAATGCCCCCCAATGCCCGCCACCGCCCCAAGCCCCTGGCACATGCCAATTCCCCCCAACATGGCATGCCTCGCCCCTGCCCCTGCCTCTGGCCTGACGCGCCCGGCTCAGTGTGCTTCCATTTTGCAGATGGGAGCTCGGTCACCTGCCAGCCCATTGGCCTGGAGAATGGAGCCAGCCCGCCCGCCGAATGGTTCCAGCGCGCCCAGGGCTCCGGACCGCGCCAGCCCGGCAGCGAGGCGGAGGGTGGCGAGAGGAGCTTCAAAGTGAACCTGTATTGCAAGCACTCGAGGCCAAGGTAATGGCTGCTGGGCCTATCCACCCCCACCCCCTCCCTCCACGCCGTGCTGGGCACCGGGGAATTGCAGAGGCTGATGCCATCTGCAGAGGGCCCGGTGGGGGGTCGACTTGCCTCCTGGCATCCCTGGGAAAGCTGGCGGGTCTTGCTTCCTCCTCTGTATTTCTGGCCTGGCTGGACCCCTGTCTCTGTGCCTGCCCGGCCTCTCCTTGGCCAGCCGGGCCACGGCGTACGGTGGGTGGTGCCCACAGGATGCCAGGACTGAATGGGCCCCTTGTGTTTCTCCTCCCAGCTCTCCCCTCCGGCAGCTGAAGCCAGGCTGGGCCTGCCAGGCCGGCCTCCCCCGGGGCACCTGCCTTCGCCCTGCCTCAGGCATTTTGGTCTTCGCTGCAGCTGGCTGGGGGGGCGTAGGAGGCATCTTGCCCTAGGGGATGGCTCCCGGGGCCGAGGGGGAAGGCAGGGGTCACAGGCAGGTTGGGGGCCGGCACAGCACCCAGAGTGGCTCAGGTCGGGGCCAGCTCCGGACCCTCCTGGTTCTGGGAGTGTCCAGGGGACTTCTGTCCATGTGGCAAGGCGTGGGGCACAGAGCTGGGCTCGGGGGCATGCCAAGCCTGGCGTGGGTAGCCCAGGGTTGGAAGAGCAGCAGAGACCGGCTTGCAGCTGCTCAGACCAAGCCAGTGTCGCCCCTTGCAAAACCCCCGGGCACGTCTCCTAGGGCGTGATGAAGTGCCCCTTCACGGGGCACGGGGACTGGCACGGGGACTGCCGGGGAGGCTCCTGCAGCACCCCACACCCCAGGGGCACCCCAGCATGCCCCCCAGCCCTTCCTGTGTGCAGTACCATGTGCTACAGGGGGGGAAAT